CTTGCAAGAGGTATATAGTATATATATTTCTATTACATGTAATGGATATCTCCAAAAGGAAGAATATATCATCCATGTCAGTCATTTTGAATTCTCAACATAGAGTTTTCTTTACTCTGTTAAGCCTATTCTTGCTGGCTATAATAATGATATCATCAATCTATATACTAATAAATACTATACTATTATTATAATATTTAATTATCTACTTTGCAATACTTGAATCTATTGTTAAGAAGATGTTTATTAATCCTTTTATTCCATAAACATACTACTTGCTTGATGCTATATAATTCTTTATGTAATCTGTATATGAGCTTACTATTCTAATTATCATATAGTTTGTATCCTTGTAGTTGATAAACATATATATAGTTCAGTATCTATATTACTATTCAGGAAGGCTGTCTTAATGTCCATCTAATGGATCTTTAAATCATATAGTATACTAATTGCAAGAAGTATTCTAAGCAAAGTAATTTTGAATACTGGTGAAAATGTCTTATTATAGTCCATACCATAATCTTGTGAATAACCTTTAGCAATAAAATGAGCTTTATACTACTCTACATCACTATTAGTATTATATTTTATCCTATATACCTACTTGGATCTGATTGCTTGATGATTGGGTAGAAGAGATATAAGATCCCATATACTATTCTTAATGAGTAAATCATATTTCTCATCTATCACTTGTTTCAATTTCTTGCTATCAGGATTGATTATGACTTTGTCATATATATTTGGCTCATTAGAAGATATCATAATATATACACATTTATATGCTTTGGTATAGCTCACATAGTCCTTATATTACTATTAAAAGCTTGTTGACATATCTCAATAATTTCCCAATTCTGAATGAGTTTCTCAGTGAACATTGGAGTACTTTTATACTTATTTATCCTTTGTAAAGATAGAGGATCTCTCATTATTAGAGGATTTACTATCATCATCCTTGATCTTTGTTATTCTTAGCTTAGGTATCTCTGGCTCAGGCTCAAGTATATATAGCAGTTGAAAATAGTTCTGATTGACTGCTGGAGAGGTGGATGATAGTTGTGCTAGTTGCTACATTTGTACTGGCTGGGGTGTAGAGGTTTTGACCAGTACTTCTATATGAATCTCTGAATCATTTTTTTTTTTCTCTGAACTATATATTATACAATATGACTATATATTACTTACATGGATCTTATAGCCAATACACTTTGCTGGAATATCTGAGAAATATGTGTTTGCTCACCTTGGGTTCAAATTTATCCTAGATAGTATTGTTTTTATCAAAGACATATGTATTATAGCCAAATATATATAAATGAGATATATTGGGTTTAGATCTACTCTATAATTCTTCAGAGATAAGATTATTGTCTCTGGAATACTTATTATTACTGCTAGCATCCTTGCTTAGCAATCAAGATATACACTAATTGTATATATATACTACAGTACTTATTACTTCAGCCTAATAAGAATATAATAGTCTAGCAGTATTGATCATTATATATACTATTTTTATAGCTATATGGTTAAATTGCTTAGCTATACTATTCTGCTGAGGTGTATAGAGAGCTGTTATTTGATAGATTATACCATATTTTATCAGAAACTACTTGAATATGTAGTTTATATATTTATATCTATTATCTGATTGCATAATATATATTTTATATTTAGTTTTATTTTTAGTGATTGCTTTGAGTTTTTTGAATTTATTCAAGGCTTTACTCTTCACTGATAGGAAATATATATATATCTTATATATATAATTATTAATGAATATGAGAAAGTATCTTTTACCAGAGTATGATGGTATATATATCAGCTTATATATATCCATATGTATGAGGTTGAGGATCTCTGATATATACTTTAATTATTCTTTAAATAGTTACTAAAATACTTTATTTGCTATATAATCTTTATAGAAGAAATTATCATATGTATATATATATACTGGCAATCTATTAATAGATCCACTTCTTATTATATATTTGAGACTTATTTTGCTGATATATCTTAAGCATTAATGCTATATATTGGACATATTAGGTATAGTTATCATATATATAGAGGCTTTTATATTATTTAGTATACTATTGATCATATAAAGATTACTATATTTCAAAGTTATTATTAATTTTTTATTGTCATGCAAATTATATACTATTGCAACTTTTGAATATATATATATCTCTTTATTACCATGAGTCATCATTTTGCCTATAGAGAAGAGGTTCTTTCCTATCTCTAGAGTATATAGTATGTCTGTAAGAGTAGTAGTAGGCTCAATGATATTTTCATAGAGATATATGCTAATATTTTTCTTTTCTTTAATATAGATGATATTATTATCTCTCAACTTGATAGATATAGAGTATTCAAATAGTTGATATATGGAGAATTATTCCCTATATAGTATTATATATTATATGGCTCTAGAATCCATTAATCAGATATCATTATCATCAGCTATATTGGCATATTCACCAGATGTATGGCTAGATATATAGTTGATAGTTTTTCTATCTGTGCTGCTGACAGTACTGATATCATTACTACTTTTTGTCAGATAAAAAGTGTTTTACTTTTGCTGTTGACCAGAATTCATAAATGATGGGTTGATAGATTTGGTAGTAGATCTTATGCTAGCAGAACTGGTACTATCAGAATTAGCAGTAAATTTGATAGGACTTTTGGATCCAAAATTATCATCCTTGCCAGACTTCATAAATATAGAGAGACTGACAGCTTGCACAAAAAATAGATTACCACTTTCATCAGTTTCAGTAGTATTTACATTACTATATTTCTCTTAATAGTTTCTACTGCTTTCATATTACCAATGCTGGCTTTTTCTATACTTATTTTTACTGCTTTCTTTGTCATTCTCTCAGTAATAATATTGGTGCTTTCTATATCTATACTTGCTACAATATTTACAGTAGCTATCATACTTGGCTGATTAGCTAGATTGGTGGTTGCATTGTTGAGCTTAGATTTGGGTTCATTGACTTTATTGACTATATTTTTGACCTTATTTGATACCACCTCTGCAGAACCTATAGAATGCCCTTTCATTGTTATTGCTGCTATTTCCTTGATATATTTCCTTATTCATAAGGCTTGTTATTATATAGATATAGTCTGAAAGACTGCTACTCTTGCATATGGCTGTGATGACAATATTATATATATCTAGAAGTCTCCTTATAAGTGCTATAATCTTATCTTTATTACTAATGCAATCTGTAGATATACTGAGAGAATTTACTTAATTCACCAGATTATTAATGTGACTGGCATATTTGCAGATACTCTTCTTAGACTTTATTTAAAGATTAAATAGTTGAGATTTCAGGTGGAATCTATTTGATATAGATGCTTATACATAATGATTATATAGGACTTCTCATGCTTTATTGGCCTTATCTGTATATATTACAAGCTTCATTTGTGAGTTTGATAATGTAAATATGATCTCATATAATGCTTAGCAATTATTTGTAAGATTGTAGTCTTAAATCTGCACTTGTGTCTTCATATACTCTGTCAAGCTATATTTGTTAAGGAGATTTGTTATATAGAATGTTCAGATGATATAATCTTTCCTATCAAAGATCAGAATAGACCTCTTGGCTGTATTTATACTTATGTATGATGGAGACTGCTCTTATTATCAAAGCACTTATTATTAGCATATCTATATTACTAGATTGTTTGTTACTTGACATTTCTAGTATATATATTATATAGTATATATTTATGAGATGTATATACTATAGCCACTTAATGCTAGCAGAGCTCATAACCTTTATTGAAAAGAGGGGCATTTTTATTGATTTGTATAGAATACATATTTCATACATTACTGATGAATGATATAAGACTGATGAAATCACCAATCATATGTTGATATATATATCAAGTTGCCATCCTAACAGTGATGAGTGACTTTCTGTAGAGTGGGTCCTTATAGTATAAGTGAGTCTTTCTGGACATTGGCTATTTGTCTTTGAGGATGACCAGTGGTTGCCACTGAGAGCAAGAGTAGTGAGATGAAAATGGCCATTGGTAGAATTGTTGAATAGGTGGTGGGCTAGGTGGGGCCCCAGGGGGAGTCTGTACTGCAGACTAGTGAAGAGGATTTGTGTGAAGAGTGGGGGAAAGGTTCAGACAATTGGGGGGATGGTTGAATTTCATAGAAACAAGAGTGGGGGCAGGCCCCATGGAGGGGTTGGGTAGGGGGTGGAGCTTTGCTATTGTATTTTATGGGTATAGACTGGTCTGGTAATAAATGTGGGAGTCTAAGTGACTTTAAAAAAAAAAAAAAAAAAAAAACGTTTTCATGTTTCCAAAAGTACTGATGAAAGAGTTCAACAAAGAAAATTACCCCCGACATGTTTCACCGCACACGCTCGAACAAGCCGGGTCAGGCACCTTTTTGATATAGTTATGAACGTAGTTCAAACTCAGCAAAGTGGCTGGAGCCGCTTATGCAGAATATTCATGCAATGCAAGCAGTTTCAATCGTTTCCCCTGCGCCCAAGTCAACCTAGTTAGCTTAGATTCAGATATATTGCTAGTTTCAGTATATACATAGAGCCAGGGATATTCCAGCACATAACCTCGTTCCGCTGGTAACCGAACGATTAGTCGTATTCACTCAGTTAACAATTAGTCGTTAGCGATTTCGTATCTACAAGCTGTTTTGCGAATCCCTCCCACCCATCCCTCATGGTTAGAGGTGTATAATAAACGGCCCCTTCACAAATGAACGCGAATGACGGGCCTTGGAAGCGCGTGCCTCCATATAGCCAAACCCCATTTCGTGTGACATTTAGATTTTACATTCATATTCACACTACGTTGATTTGCTTTACGTTATACGAGTCGAACTTTACGCGAAAAGACACTTTGTTAATTATTATGCTCCCACGGCCTGTGCGACTTTTCGAAATTGCCTATACAAGCTCGCATCTATCCAATCCCAAGCCCTGGTAGCTTAACTGGTAAAGCGCCCATCCTGCATTGCACTTTTAATGGGTGAATGGAGGTTCGAGTCCTTCCCAGGGTATGAAAGTTTTTTCGCTCCCTTTTTTTTTTTTTTTTTTTTTTTTGGTCGGCTGCGAGCTGAAAAATAATGCAATGCACTCGTGAAAGCATATATACTCACAGAAGTTCAGAATCAAAAATTGTTTGCCATTTGCCGTCAATTTAATCTGTACGGTTAAGACTTCGGGAGTCATCATTAAGAGCGCGGAAGTGAACACAAAAAAAAAAAAAAATCGTGTGATAAGTAATCTTAGTAATCGGTTCTTACAGTTTTTTTAACAAAGAGCTGGGAACAATTTAGTGTAGAACTAGTTGGTTGCATCCTTTTTATTGCCGTGCGCATTTTGACCATACCAGTGTCAATCGGCGATATTTAATATTTTTTTGTGAGCACGAAGAGTAAACTGGCTTGCTTCCAATTGGTCAAGTGGAACCCAAAAGACGGGCTTAACATATTTTCTTAGTCAGTGAAATTGGGATAACTGAAACCAAGCGACGGAGTTGAGGCAGAACGAGGGCATCGATAACGCGGCCTGGGTTTTTGAGGATATTTTTGCCTTGGATAATTAATTATATGCTGAGGGAGGTGACCGCGCAGTTTCGGATCAGGTCGACGGAATTCGTTGTAGTGGCTCACTTGCTTTAGAAAGTGATTTTGAGCGCGCAGTCGGTGATGTTGACCAGGCCCTCTTACCTTCGCCGAAAGTTGATGTCGCGGAAAAATGAGAGCACCGCATAGCAATTAAGACAGCAAAGGAAAGACGTGGCCGCAGGCCCCAGAAAGGGAAGATTTCTCCCCCATTTCAATCGGAGAGTAATACATCTGTTGTTTCGTTGAAAAAAATAACGACCTAAGATTGGCAGGCCAAGGTCAACTCTATAGAAATCTAAGCTAAATTGAGCCAGTCACTTTTAAAATGTTACCTCTTAGTAATTATGACCCAAAAAACAGAAGTGCGACGGTAATTTAGTCCAGGCCTTAAACTTTGAAAATGATCGTCCACTATTCGCCTATATTCATCACAAACTTTCAAAAACGGTTGTAACAATGGTGCCAGGGACATGCAACTAGAATAAGGGTCCTGTCCCTGAAGTTCACCAACACGCCCACCCCAACCTATTGGACAACCAACATGATCTGATTCAATGTTTTGCAGGCCAGCGGCTACCAGCATATCTCCGACCTTGAATACACTTTCAGTTCCGAAATCCTTGCCCTTGGTTGCGGAGCTAACTGGCGAAATGCGAAAGTCGTGCTTTAGAATCGTACTGGAAGTTTTGTGTGGCCTCCGTGTCAGAATGTAATGCTTTCCACAAGGTGGTGGGAACAGTGAATCTCTCCAGTTTTGTCGATCCCTCCACTAACTCCAGCTATCCACCGGGGTTAGGAGCCGCGTGAGTTCGCGAACGGCAATCGGCCAATCCGATGGCGAGAATGCCGCGACCATGAATCGTTGGAAGACGTACGCCGAACTTTCCATCGACGAAGGGAAGGCCTTCAAGTGTGTTGGCCTTTAAAAAAGCACAGTTAGGCGGAATATTGCAGCTATGGGAAAGTTCTCGGAAATATCGATTCCTCACGAAGGTTGACTGCGGATAGTCCACTGCCCCTGTCCCGCAGCAGGCGTCCAACACTTTGATTCCTTCCTGTAATAGGTCCTCTACCGACACATTGAAGTTGACATGCATGAGCTGACCACATGCCATATATTGTGAGAGAGAATAAGTGGCTGCAGGCACTCGGATACTAATTCTGTATAATATTTCACCGCAATTGCAACCGTTTTACTATAGACACGCCTTCTATGCTTCATGACTAGGCGCAGAGAAACTTACCGCACCACGAAGTTCTGGAGATCCAGACGGTTCAGCTCTCTGTCGTTGATTGGCAACATGTAACATCTTTTTCATCTTTGTGTATGTTACATGTAACTCTGAGCCCGTCTGGTACACCAAGAGAGAGGTATCACTTTGAATCGCTGACATGGTTGTGAGAGATTGAACAGAGCTGAATAGCAGTGGGCTTTTGTGAGCGCTGGCAATCAGTCATACATCGAGTGGACGGAGACTGTTACGTCACCATCGGGACTGGGAAAAGATTCGTCGTAATATTCTAAATATTCTTTATATAGCCTCAATCACGGTAGAAAGCAGTTCGGATCCAATATGTATGTTCAACGTTAGTTGTTTAACAAAGTAGTAGGTAAACTGCCAAACCCCAAGTCAGCAGATCTGTAACAAAACGATTGACACTTGATGCTCCCCATGACAACCACTTGCGCTCTTACGCAATCCGTAGCATGCATCCACAGCCAGCAAAGACTTTTAGGAAACCGAAAGCCCGCGACCTCCAGCACGCAATCCACAGCGATTGCTTTAGCTTATTATTTTGTATAAATGTTTAGCGAATAAAGTTAGTCAATGATACTAGAATTTCCCTGCGACCACGGACATATAAAAAGGTTGGGTCTTTTGACATCCAAGAATCTAGTCATCGTATTCCGAGAGGTCACGGCAAATCGGAATGAAGAGGAGCACAGAACGTGCTTCTTCAACACGACAGGCCCCTTAGGTGAAAAACGAAGAGTTCCCTTTACAAGATCGTTCTGGGCTCTCTTTTTAGAAGTCCTGTCCTGTTTGGCGTCCACTGCAGGATATTATCTCCGGATCCTGCGACCTCGATGTCATCCCCAGTGCCATTGTACTCTACTCGTCCACGATTCGAGAAAAGGATGGCGCATTCAAGTGCCGGGTGGGCAAACCCCACATGTCGACAGCTCAAAAAGATCTCCATCAAACGATTTTTTGTGATTCAAAGGAGAAGTTTATCACTATAACCCGCGTTTTGAGGCGTATGGCAAAGCACGGAACAAAAACGTCCCATGTACCCATGTACATCATTGAAGGCGTCGCTGGTCAGGTCAAGATAGCGGCTCGATCCTTCGCATGCAGTATCGGCCATTAAATATCTTCAGGGCCATGTGTCAGGTTTATATTCCAATAATATTTTGGCAACCTTCAGTTTTGGACCAGCCATCAAGAAATTCGTCGGCTGTTCGACATATTTGCCGATCCTCGATCAAGCCCAGAACAATGATATTGGATGGCTCACATGGAAGTACATATAAACTTCAAAACCCGTTTCCGACCAACGATCGATGAGTTTGCACCGCAGCAGTGCCTGCTACTCTATATGTGTTCTCTCTTCAGATCAATCACCGAAGGGGTGCTCGCCTTCGTATGTTATATTGTCATCTACACTGTTGTTTCAACAGAAAGATTATTTCCAGTATTGAGGCTATTGCAGCAACTATGTATGTGATAAGTTTTTGTTGAAAGAGGTGAGTCTTAGGAAAGTGTAATTCTATGTTGAACCTTGGACGAAAGGTCCATCGTTGTCACATCTGTAAATTCGAACGCACCCTCGTTCCCTTCACCGGTCACGTGAAACTTCAACTTTATTTGCTGATAATTGGCTTGTATGATAACACATACATATTTGTGATTGGCAATACCAAGCCATCTTGACATGGTGAGTAATGCAATGAAATGTGGTGTTTGCATCTTTTTTTTTTTTTTTTTTTTTTTTTTTTTTTTTTTTTTTTTTTTTTACTATCTTCCTATTTTTGTCCCGGGAATTCCCGTGATGCTAGAATGGCAACTCCGAAACATTCAAACCACATTTATAGTGAATTGAAGAATAGGATTTATGGCGAACAATACTGCGACATTGTCGACATTCCCGACCACGGCAGCCACAAGCTCGGAAAGAACACCATGCAGCAGCAAGTGCCATTTGGTGGACTGGTTGAGAGCATCCAATTTTCTCCACACTGGCTTCTCTCGGTTTTGCTTGGAGTAGGTGATGTCGATTATGACAGAAAGGAAATCGCACGTTCATTTTATGCTTACTTGATCGATGACGCGAGCGAGCGACGGTGGCCAAACGCATCAACACACTTCTCTCGAGTTTCTCTCTCTCTCGTCTCTTTCCCTCCAAGCTCATTTTCTCCAAACAGGCTTTGTTATATATCAACATGATAGACGCAAACCAAATACAATTCGTTTAAAAAGACCCGAACATCTTTGTAAGTTTCCCGTACGGGGGTGTTGCCGAATGAATTGGTGTGGTATTTGTTACTCTTCGTTGTGCTAGCGCTTCATGACACGAAATTTGACCATCTTCGGGATGCTCAATCTGTAGCCGAAGTCAATAAAACGTTTAGTATGGGCCAGATAGGTTAGATCATCTTCGTTGGGGGACAATCAGCGCCAATGAAACGGTGTAGCATACCCATGACCTTCCAACACGACGCCATTATCAGGATGATCGATGATTTCAAATGACAGACGTGTCAGAGTCTTGTGCAAAAGCGTTAGAGCTTCGGAGAAGAAGAGATTGCGTCCTACAATGTTCGTCACATTTTGAGAAATTAGTTGGCCAGAAACTCTCGAGATGATCTTCCGCACAAAAAATTGAACGGGTCTACGACAGTTATTTACCTATGCATATCCTAGGTCCGGCAGCGAATGGTACATAGGCGAATGGGTGCTTTGGTTCCACAACCCCTCCATTCTCCTCCTTATCGAACCTACTAGGATTATACTTTTGCGGCTCAGTCCACCACTCCTCTGAGAAATGCACGGCATGCAAATGCGCCAACAACATCGTCCCAGACGGTACGACCTGTCCACAAGCGAGCTCGTAGTCCCGATCCAAGTCACGCGCCGTCACGATAATGGGCCCACGCATTCTGAGTGACTCCTCCACGCAATGTGTCGTGTAACGCAGTTTCTTGAGGTCATCGTACGCGAGCGGGCTGCGTACAGAACCGAGCTCGGCAACGGCGCGACGACACACATCTGGGTGCTGCACAATCTGGAAAAGGGCAGATGGAAGAAGGCTGGCGGCGGTGTCGAGGCCCGCGAGATAGAATATAACGAGGTGGTCGCGAATCTGCTTCGGCGTGAATTGACCGGTGAGGAGGAGGAGTTCGAGGAGGTTGTTGGATTGGCGGCCTA